TTGGAGATCGGATAGAGTGTGTTTTCCCCATAATCTTCAGACAGACCCAAATCATCCACTCTAACTGCCCCCCATGTTTTGCCCTTCTCCCGGTGTTCTGCTGGGTCAACCACCAAGAGGAATGACCCTGATTCACCCATGTATAATATGAACATGTGCAATTCACTTCTCCACGAGAACTTATATTCTACTCCCAATGTTTGGTATTATTTTGACGACAGTAAACAGCACATTCATGGATGATTTCAGCCACAGGGAGACGACGAGACGCAAGATCACCTTAATTGCTGCTGGGCGTCGGAATCTGTTAATCCAACGTGGCTGGAAAATCTCCACGGTGGCACGTTCGCTGGGAAAATGGTCGAAGTAAATGGTGGATTTCAAGACACAGATTACCGGAGGGAAGTCTGATCGAGACTTTGATTGAGACTTTGAGACCCTGATACATCCTGATACCCTGGAATAATTTGAGCATAGCGAAGGCTAAGACAGCTAAGATACTGTATGGACAATGACCCATTTACAGCTGAATTATCTAGAATCTAGAACAACAATGGTGATGTATCATAGCTGTGTTCAACCACCAGAGCTTGGTAATAATGAGAGCTAGCCATGATAGTCGATGATGGCAACTTAATTGTACCAATCAAAGTAGTGCCAGTGATATACAATGATAGAATATAATGATATCCAAATGATCATGATATTAATCATGCTTAACATAAAAAAAATATACATGATGACGATGACAACAAAATGGAACGGTCAAGGTCATGAAGTGAAGCCCCTTATTTAGTGCGTGGCCTGGGGATCCACTGATGCCATCCCTCACAACAAGCAACAGGTCTATGTCAGATATGTGATCAGCAGACATCTCAGAATAAACGATAGATGTATTTGAGAATGTTTGAGAAAATAGATATATATATATACATGTCAGATTAGTCATATTCTGACTCATATTCTGCCAAAATGAAACTGCCATGTGTCTAACCATGAGGTCAGTACAATTTCGGAAGAATATCAGTAAAGCAATAGGATCCAGGATTCCCAAATTTACCATTTTGGGTGGTATAAACCATCAGTCCGTATGAGTGGTTTATGGCAGTGCTTTACTAACATTAATTATCATTCAACAATCACCATTCATGATCATTATTAACCATTACTCACCATGTGTTCACCATGATAAAGGACTTGTTTATTTACCATGATTCATCATTATTAATGATTATTAATGTTTAATTTATTTTACTTATTTACCATATTTTATTTATTTTTATTTACCATTGTGTTTATTTAACCATTAGTAACCACTATTAACCATTCACATCCACTGATTTACCAAGGGATTCATGGGGATCATGTGTCAGATCTGTCAGATCCTCCGTGAACATGGGATAAACATCCACCATCTGGAGTAGGGTGCCAAGGTTTTGACCATTAATCCATATATCCATCACTTTTTCTTCAAGTTCTTGACCTTTAACATGTTTTAAAGCAGTGGTGATGCTTCTAAGTGTCTCCATTCTGTTTGGATAGATATGGACATATATATATATATATGGAACATGTTTGCTGGTCGGAGGGTCATCCCTGTAGTCTCCCAGTGTATCATTGCCATGGTATCGTTGATGAGTTGATGAGCCGACCCGACATTAGGATATCGAAGAAAATTTTGATGATGATGGAGTTCAAGGTGCTCTATGGCCAAATGGCTCATCATTTCCACATGATGAGTAGGCTCCTGGCTCTTGGACCTCTTTTTTAACCTGACAAATCTAAGAATGTCATACATACATATAGGATACATATGAACGAACATATACGTCCAGGTATTATATACATACGTATGTTTATATGTATATATATATACACAATATGTGTCAATACACGAATACACTAATCTATACATGTACGTGTATGCATACATGTATGCATATCTATATATCTATCCATAGATATCTATACATATATATTTGTACATGTATACACTGCACATAGGCTATATACGTAGACTATATACATACAATATCATACAATAAGGTATATACAATTGCCATATCTGCATGTCTATAGATTGACACTTGCAGACTATCGAATTGCCATATACAGTAATTATATGTTTTACATTTAATTTAATATATATATAATTGTTTACATATGTAGGTGTACGGTATTCATATAGATGTATCTATACACATTTGTGTACGTTGATATGTACATTGATATACATATATATATATACATATATGCTCAACCCCCCAAGAACCTACCAAAACAGCATGTTCGGTGGTATTTACACGAAAAAACGGCTGTTTTCAAGTATTCATTTCACTATATAAAAACTATTTGATAATATGTATATATATATATATATTGCATTTATGTATACATATATACATATGCATATATATATATACATGGTTACCCCCCACCAGAGCCTAAGCTTTTCTTGGTGGCATTTGCAGTAAAAAAACAATATATATATATATTTGTCTAGCTGTTTGTGTGAATTATATACTACCATTTCTTTGGGTGTTTGGTTCCTTAAGATCAATCGAGATTAATCCAGATTAATCGGAACCAAATCTGATTCATCTTACGCCCAAGGAAGTCTTGTCAAGTCATTATTTAAAAAAGTCGTGTATGCAAAACATGCATAGTATTCCCTGGGGATGTGCAATTCTTCTTTTTAGGTGTGAAGCCTTTGGGGATGTAAAATTATGTTTTTGGTGAGGGAAACCTTTCCTTCAAATAAATGGTGTTCCTGCCCCAGTAGAGCGCAGCTGGAGTTTATTGAAATGAGTGTTACATATTTCCAGAGAAATGGTGTCATTCAAAGGATTGTTACATATGTTCAAAACATGGTGTAACTTTCAAAAGAGGCAGCTGATTCAATTTTCCTTTTCGTGAGTAAAAACAGTCGTTCAAACAAATGGTGTTCCTAAATTATGTTTTTGGTGAGGGAAAACTTTTCTTCAAAAAAATGGTGTTCCTGTCCAGGAAGAAGACAGGAATACTGCACTTTAGAACACAATACAATCATTGTAAATAACAAATTTTCTTCTATGAAAAGAACCCAACCTTCACAAAGAGTTTTCTTCCTGAAAAATAAACATTTAACTAGCTCAAAAGCAATCACCAGCTTATAAATGACAACAACTTTTTTGGTTGAAGTGGATGCTTTGTAAGAAAAACTGCACTTCTTTGAAGAACCTCATTTCTTCAAAGCAGCTGGGAATGTAGCACAGGCACAAAACTTAATAGACTATATACATATTTCTCTTTGGGCAATGAAAGCAAGTGAAAAAACCCTGTATGGCCTGATATTGTTTGCAATTTTGCCTTTAGCCTTTAGTTTGGAAAACAAGCAATCACACGCAGCCATTGCTGTCCGGAAAGACATGCAGCGGTCCGGAAAGCAAGCACCCAAAACGCAAGGTAAACGCAGCCATTGCGGCATGGAAAGGCGTGCAGCGGTCCACGCTGTCGGCTTACGAGCACGCACGGGGCAGAGTGGGAAGAGTCTCTTCGGGAACTGGTCGCCATTGATGATAAATTTGAGGCCGCCTATAAATTTAAGCCCGTGGCCATTGTTCGAAACAATTCGTACTTGCAGTCAGAAATATGCATGTGCACGGCAAGAAAAGCTTCAACGCAAGCTTGCCTCATGCTTTCTGAAGCCGCCATAGATGGTTCTTGATTGTTGTCTTCAACACTCGCAGACAGAATGTAGGCTCTGAGCAATGGGTAGTTGACTTCAGCAGGAGAGCTATCTCCATTGCTGTCTCAGCAATTTCTTTGTCCACAGCGGACCCCACACGACAGTGCGTTTGAATTAGGCCCGAAACAGGTCTGAAACAGGTCTGAAAGGCTGACCTTCCTTCCATCTATCCATCTGGTCCATCACCATTCATCTATACATGGAATTTCCTGATCGCGGGGCGTCACATATTAATTTGGCTGTTCCTTTTCTTGACATGGAATTTGCTACCTTAAAGAAATGCAAACATAAAAATGATAGAAATATACCTTCCAATAAGCACAAGTGCTTTGAAACCTAGGCCACGCAAGAGGGCGCAATGGCGGACGCAAGACGTTGCTTTACGTCAACCATGGAACCAAAATTTAGAACAACCCTCATATACATACCTATATATATATATGTAATATATATTTATATATATATATATATTTTATTTATTTACTTATTTATTTATTTATCGATATTTACAAGTACATGCAGAATTAAACATATTTACACATATATGCACGTATATACATATATGTAGCATCTATTCTGGGACGTATTTGATGGCTGACCTCGCCACGAGACCAAATATGTTGCCTCGTGAGTGCACACTGCAGAGAAGTATCATCCCCACAATTGGGTAGACCCCACCTATTTTAGAGGAAAGTGGTCTCCCAACCCCTTTTTGGCAGGGTCTATGTTCATTTGGGAGACGGTTTCTTTTGGGACCAACCATTCTTGAAATAGTTTTCCTAAGCTGGCCAGCCTGGCTTTGGGGAATCGGCCTGTTGATTCCCAGTAGTTTGATATTGTGGTTTTGGGTGAGTTGCAAGGACAACGGACCAAGCTGCTTTGTTGTCTTAGGCACTTGACCAAGAGACGGCCGATCTCGGATCCGGATAGATGGAATCTTCTCAGATGGTGATGTTAGCACGAGCTGAATTCTAATCCTATCTCCCTGTTCATACGAAACTCCCACCATCACTAGGCATTCTTTACAAGGGGGATATCATGAACCCCAATGAGCCGATGAGCATCCCCCAAAAATACGGACCTGTTTTATATTTTGGCAATGGGAGTCATCCACGCTAGCCCTTGGGCCCTTTTTCTGCAAGATGAGATCGACTGGTGGCCCTTCAGAACAACATTTCTGCTGTCCTGTTGAATCGCTGGAACTGAACGCAGTCATCGCTTAGAAAGTAGTCATTATGTTTGGCGAATCTGAATGCAGAGGTTGACACAGCGATGTCAATGAAACCACGCTTTGCATGCAGTTTCAGATGCAGTTCATAGTCGCACGTATCCAAGTTTTGGCTGTGGCACATGAACGTGTTTTTGTTTACAAGCCAACGATGATATTCATTGAGGTGCCTGACATGGATGCACCATGACCATGTCATATAAGGCCGCATCCTTAGAGGATATCCCCAGCCTTTACACAGAGCAAACAAGTCCAAATAAACATATGTACCCCCAAAACAAAATACAATACATAAAATAAAACACGGGTTAAACACATCATTTTCATATTTGGTTAAAAAGTATCTTGTTTCCAAGCATATATATATATATACAGCGGGTGCCAGAATTATAGAACGGAGCCAGGAGTACAAAAGTACGGTAAAATACCGTACCTTTGTACTCCTCCGGGCGGAGTCGGGAAATTTAATTATAGAACGGGGCCTGGGAAACATTAATTATAGAACGAAAATGGGAAATGTGAGAAAAATGGGGGAAAACAGAATTATAGAACAGCAGCGCTCCGACAAGAATTATAGAACGGGGCCCGGGAAACATTAATTATAGAACGGGGCCCGGGAAACATTAATTATAGAACGAAAATGGGAAATGTGAGAAAAATGGGGGAAAACATAATTATAGAACAGCAGCGCTCCGACAAAAATTATAGAACGACGAAAAAAATTAGGAGTAAATTCAGATACGTTTTTTTTTTCTCACACCTTCCGAGGAAAACAGAATTATAGAACAACAGGGTACGGTAAATAACCGTACCTTCGTACTCCTCAACTTCCGTTCTATAATTCCGGCACTGACAGTATATATATATATATTCATACTCTATATGATATATGTTTTGAAGTCTATAAGAACACCAATTATTCGTTAATAGTGGGGTCTGGCAGATAGGCAATTCTGATATGTCATCATGGTCCATGAGAGAAACTGGTGCTCCTTGCAAGAATTAAGCAGGGGTTGATCCTTCATGCCTGTAGATTTTTTGTGGGGCTCTGATTACCTGGATTTGTCGAAGATTATTGTTATTTTCCCAGTGGGAAATCCACTATTTGGGGAATCTATGAGACTATGCCCTCCTGGGGGCAGGGTTCCTGAATCAAATCCAACATTAGACCGAATTTGATCTCCGATCAAATGACCTTAGTGGGATAGAGTACTGGATGGTGGATCTTAATGGTGCATTGTCTCAGAAACTGCTTCAAGGAAGATTCGCGGAAAGATCTGCTGTTGATGGGTAAAAAGATTTAACAAACATGGTTTATTGGTTTGCTGTAGCTGCTTTGACCCTAGGGTCGCTCGGAAAAACGCAGGACCCACCACCACAAGAACCACCTTAAAAGTTTCCAGCGTCAGCATGGGATTACGATACGTCGATGTCGTTGTCTTGCAATTGTTGCCAGCATCTGTGCAGCATATATTGGAAGTCTTGAGTTGAAGATGTTCCTTCAAAGTGGTGCCGCATCGTTAGCCAAACTGGTTACTAAAGGTTCTGCGGCATCTATCTGCATTTTTAAACTGTCTGAGCCGCCCCATGGAGTCCCACATACAGCAGAAACAAACAAATGAGAGGACCGGCTCAGCTAAGGACGGCACGCAGAACATGGTCAGCATGGTTCAAACACACAGCCAAATTTGAAAGAAGGGTGTAGATGGAAGACAGCCGGCTTGCGCAGCTGCCACTTAGAGACCTTGACGACCTTTGAGGAGATCAGGGGTGAAATGCCCGCGTGGAAGGAACCATTTCGCGCATATTTTTCCTTTCCTGAAGCACGAGATTTAAAGCAGCTTTAAAGGTTCCATGGGGTGAAACCATGTAAGTTTGATCGCCTCAAGCTCCAACAATGTGGATAGTGGGCGCAAAATATGCGATGGCGAGGAAATCCTTCAGGCAGTTTAAAACCTAACGCGCTCATCGCCTGCGGAAGGTTTAATGAACTTGTTGGACATCTATCCCGAAACGGGCTGGTCGCTCTTCAAACAGTTCCTGGTCTCACAATAAGGGTAAGTCTGGACATGCTTTGACGGCCTTTATTTGGGTACCGCTTGGCGCGGTAGCAAAATTTGATTTGAACATGGCAAAGAGAGTTGCAGGGCATGTACGAATGTGACAATTTGACGTTGCTAACATGGGGATGCACCGTCAAAAAGGTATCATCAACACCATCAACACTTTGAAATTTGGTGAGTTATTCACATGTACAACGCGGTGATACTTGCAAACCTTACCCACAAAAGCACATGTTTAAGTGTCACAAAGAAACGTATCTATATAGTTATGTATATATATATATATATGCCAACACCGTGGGTGTGGGCTATATAGCACATTAGGCACTCACAACCCACCATGGTTTACTGCATGGGCCGAGGTTGGACGACAACGGTGACGCCAGCATTTCCGAGGCGGCCGGCTGATCGGAAAATAATCTGGGAACATGACACTTGAGTTTGAGGATCAACACCAAATTAGGAAGAAATACCCCGTGGCCATCAATGTGTTTGTGTGAGTCATAGTCGCCTCAGTGGCCGTTAACATCCATGATGGTCAGCTAGGGATGGTAGGGGAAACACCATACAAATTAATGTACTGTTCATACCTTCTTATACATCATTCAGCCAAGTGTATTTTGTGTCCCCCATTGATTTTGGTCAAGTTGAACTTTCTTGTGACAAAGGTAAATTTACCATACGGGATATGGGATTAGGCGGGCACTGTATCATCTATAACTGGAATAATGATGACCATTTTGGACCTCCTCGCTAATAATCCACCTTTTTGCGATTTCCAATGGCAACCAAAATGGCAATACTTTCTGATTGATTTACGTATACTAGGTAATTTCCGGTAAATGGCATTAAATTGCATTGTTTTGCCCTGTTACCTAAATTTCTCAAAGGCTGGGCAGCAAACCGAAGTTGACATGACCCAACAACATGACATTTTGAAAGTCATTTGGCCAGGAAATTGAAAGGAGCATCCGCATGAAGCCTTTCTGGGGGTAAACTAAAACCAATACAGTAGTTCTTTTAGTTGTTCGGTTTTTTGTTTCGGACACAAAGTCTGACTTAACAAGTTCGTGTTGATTCAACGCATCTAACTGGGTTTTCAGAATGCAGATACAACATGTGGTTTACCGACCAACATGTTATCAAATGGTGATAAGTGATACGCGTTTCCGCTTACAATCGCTGCAGAATAAAATGCAAACGGTTTTGCTGGCGATTAGTAAGAACAATAAGAACATGAAGTTTCTACGGCGCGCAATGAGTTGGTGATTTACAGTGCATGATATGTTCCCAGGGAATTACCCTAGCTATAGTCTACCTGGATTAAAATTTAAGAAATTATCCAAATTGTCAGCCTGGATCAAGGTTTCAGGTGGTTGTTTCAGGTTTGGGCCTCCCCCTTGAAACCTCACGAGTTGTAGCAAACAAATGGATTTTGAACATGTTTGAACCATATCCAGGTTCTCGTTCTTGCGATTTCTTCCTCTCTAAGTGGGACTTCAATGCTAGGTGAGACTTCAACGGTGTTTAGGATCACCATTTCACCTCACTTCATTGCAATTCAACCCGAACTGCGCATAGTTCTGGTTGGTGCTCCATTTGCGTTCCCAAAGCATGATGCCCATCCCCAAAATCTTCAGGTGTTGCTTATAATTCCAGTTCCCAAACGACCCTGGGGTAAACTAACATGGTTGGATGTGGAAAATCCATAAAATGCAGATTTTTCCTGGTTTTTCTGCTTTCTATTTTAGTTTACCCTTGGGTACCTCCCCTCCCCGTCCCCAAGGTCAATCTCGATCCATCACAGATCACCGTTCTGCCAGGAGGAGTTTGTGAGCGGCGTCTTCCGCTTGAAAGGCGCTGCCAAGTCCTGGGACATGGCGCCTCGGCCGGAGTTCGAAAGATTTGGGACTTGACCTGGCTGGTCCTAAGCAGCAATGGTGACCTTAACCGGTGAAATTGATATGGGGATGTGTAAAAAAAAGCTTCGGTGGTATCCCCAACAGCGGCAACGTTTTATTTTTACAGAAGCGTGCTGCGAAGCCAAGCGCTGGAAACACCTCGCCTGGGTCTCCGTGTATTAAAAGGCCGCAAATCCTGTTGAACCTGACCTGGCTCTGCCAAACTGACCTGGCTCTGCACCAAAGCCTCCCAGAACCTTCTCCGGAACCTTCTCCAGAACCCTGTTGAACCTAACCTGGCTCTGCACCAAAGCCTCCCACACCTTCTCCGAAACCTTCTCCCGGAACCTTCTTCGGAACTTTGTTGAAGCTGACCTGGCTCTGCACCAAAGCCTCCCAGACCTTCTCCGGAACCTTCTCTGGAACGCTGTTGAACCTAACCTGGCTCTGCACCAAAGTTTCCCAGACCTTCTCCGGAACCTTCTCCGGAACCTTCTCCGGAACCCTCTAGAACCTGACCTGGCTCTGCACCAAAGCCTTCCAGACGTTCACCGGAACCTTCTCCGGAACCCTGTTGAACCTGACCTGGCCTTGCACCGAAGCCTCCCAGACCTTCTCCGGAACCTGACTTGGCCCTCAAAGCCTTCCCGACCTTCTCCGGAACCTTTTCCAGAACCTTGTTGACCTGGCCCTGCACCAAAGCCTCCCAGACCTTCCCCGGAACCTTCTCCGGAACCTTCTCCGGAACTCTGTTGAACGTGACCTGGCTCTGCACCAAAGCCTCCCAACCTTCGGAACCTTCTCCGGAATATCGTTGAACTTGACTCGGCGCCTGCACCAGTGCACACCGGAGCTATTCTGGGCTGAAGACCCCATTAGCTTACGCTGTTGGGGAAAAACATTTTTTTACCTTCACGAAATTAATCCAGGTGGACCGTTGGTTATCCAATTATTTTCCAATTAATTTTGATTTGGGTGTTTTTTTCGAGAACTCTATTTTTCGAGGGTTAATTTGAGTTAGGGGTGCCCAAAATAATTTAGTCTGAATGCTTGAGAATGAGAGTGGGGCCACCTCGAATTAATTTGGCAATGTTTCGTGAAACAGCTCATGCCAGCTCAATCAAACTTGGAGTATTAATGACACTGAATCTACCTGTGTGGCATTTACAAGGAAGAAAATGCGTTTGGAAAAGAGTCTTATTGATTGTTTCGCAAATGATTTTGATTTTTTTTAACCATTGCGAACAAAGAAACATGCAATTTATTTCTCATATCACCAACCATTGTTTTCCTTCCTCCCAGCTTGCGTGGACACGCGTAAAATTATGTAATTTGGAGGTGGATGTACTAGTACAGGATTCAATAATTGTAATCACACTAAATCTATCTGGGTGGCATTTACAAGTAAGAAGATGCGTTTGGAACAGAATTTTTGTTCATTGTGTTTAATGTGAACTGAAAACCCAGTGAACAAAGTCACGAACAAATACACACCCGATCTATTTCTTTTTGCGCCAACAAAGTTTTTCCTTTTTCCCAGTTCGCGTGGCCACGCGTAAAATTAATTTGGGGGTGGGTGTACTAGTACAGGACCCAATGATTGTAGTAATGACGCTAAATCTAACCGGGTGGCATTTAAAAGTAAGAAGATGCGTCTGGAACAGAATCTTATTGATTGTGCGCAATGAGAATTGAACACCCATTTAAAAACATCACAAATAAATAAACACGCAATCCATTTCTTTTTGCGCCAGTTTTTTCTTTTTCCCAGCTCGCGTGGCCACGCGTAAAATTAATTTGTGGGTGGGTGTGCTGGCTTGGGGCCTCATGGTTTGAATCCAATGAGACTGCCTTAATTTCTTGCATACCGTGCCTCCTTCGGCTGCCGCTTTTGCCGGACGTGTTGAATCATGCGTATGGGCTTGGCTGGCCTCATTGGAGGCCATATGTTCCTGAAACTTTGGATACCTTCACCCCTACCTCGCATAATTTAGCTAAACACACCCCAATTAATTAGAAAAAATCATTTGGGGTCTGCCTAACCCAAGACGAAATGGTAGTTCCCCCGCTCTTGAATAATTTTGCCTGAAATTAATTTAGGTGGTGGGAAGAGAACGATTTATTACATCTAGGTGGGGGGGAAGTGCCGCGGAACAAACTAACAGAGGTAGCTTGAAGAAGTAAGGACCCTTTGGTTAATACTTTTATTAATGTAGGTGGGTGACCACTCTGGGGACCCGGATGGTACTGGTACCATTTTCTTGTGATATGATGGGAATTTAGGGGATGCAATAGAAAGAATATTAAGCCACAGCCATAAGATGGGTGTGTGTGAAAACCGTGGAAAACCCAACTAATCATGTGATGAAAGAAATGTTTTTGTAAACAATTTGAATCACATGTTTACTCGCAAAACCCAGGACAGACAACCTTCTGGTAATTCAAAGTGGTTGGGGAAACCCAATTTTTCATGGGGAAATCATTTGCAGATGGATGTGTTGCGATACGTTGATGTTGACGGATTAATAAACTAACTGGTTAGCAACGTATTTTGTTTATTTTTGTTTGGTTTCCCTGTTTGATGCCAAATCTTCACCGTTTTATGTGATCTTTGTCTGAGGACAATCCCTAACTCCATGGGTTGATCATTTTTGTCGAAAAATGTTATTTGATGTTATATCATGTACACAATTTTCAGACACATACTTGAACCATCTTGAACCGGTCCTTCCAAGGAGATTATTATGCAGGACGATCTGCCGAGCTGGAGCTGTTTGTGGATGGATTCCGGTACTTTCAATATATAGTGGACAGGCAAATGGTGATTTACCCATCAAAAATGAATATTTAAGAAGCAAATGGTGATTCATATGTGGTTTGTGATAGCTAACGTGGTTTCAAACTAATGACAACCAGTATAGTATAGTATAGTTGCGGGATTTTATGTTGGATCTATTAGATATATATATATATAATGTTATATATAGTTACTGGTGTGAACATAAACCCACTTAGAATGTCTGAGGACACCACTTTGGCCCGTCAACCTGGATGACTGTGGCGTGCGTGTGGGAACGTGTCATGTTGGTAACTTAGGGCCCAACAAGCGTGTACGCGGATCCCATATTTGGGGCAATCAAAATCCATTAAGCATCTATTGTAGCGTACTTTGGGTACCAAGGTTTTGACCCATAACCATATAGCAAAGAACATGTCTGCACGGCAAAAAGATAATGGGGGTAGTTGGTGCTTTGGGATAGGGTGAAACATCCAACCAGAAATCAATTTCAAAAACCTGACATTGGCTCATATCAGTACACAATTCTTTGATAATCAACCAACAGATATGTGACAACCTTTGCCAGTAATTTCCTTTGCCACCCATATGCCATGGTCATGTTGTTTGAGAAACTCATATTCACGCTCAAAACTCGGACTTGTTTGTTGCTTGGCTTTGTTACCTCAATGGTTCTGTGAACAACTCAACCACCGCCGTCCAGGAGCAACGAGGCTTGCGAAAGATCTTGGATACCTACATTGCAACGGTCGCAGGCTCCCCGGGACGGGACAAAAAGACGTGAGCGCTGTGCAACTGAATCAACACAAAAGATGTCATTCTATACTGTAACATGTAAATAATATTATATAATATCATATATATAGTTGTTATGTATGTATATATATTTATATATATGCTGTATACAACTAGATATGCACAGAGGCTGTGTTTTAGGCCTTACGTTGCAACGATAATTCTTGGATGGCTAGTTTGAGGCCAGTCAAATTCAAAATGGAAAACCCTTATGGAGATTCAATGATACATATATAGTATAGGTATGCATTATATATATATATATATGTACATATGCACTTGTATATCCTAGCCAAAACCAACTTACCCATTTTGTGACCCCACATTGTAAGATGAGTCATTCCTGCTGCCAATTTTGTGTGGCAGGATCCGACAAAAGGAGGGCTAGCCACAGCTAGCGGTTAGGGCGGGCAGCAAATCAGGTGGTTGGGCCTTGAATGACAGCCACAAAGGGGGAGATTTCATGTCACCCTCTAGTTATTTGGAAAATGGCCCATTATAGATGGTTTACCATGGTTTACCTATGAAAAATGGTGATTTTCCATGGCTATGTTGAATAACCAGATGGTATCTCTTCATCTAGCATTTTTTTCTCACACTGTACCTGGGGTCTTGGGAGCAAGCTTAAAAAAAGATTTGTAGAGCTATCCCAAAACTGGGTACACCTATGTACACCCAATACATTTTGTGCCTTGGTTGGATAGCCACAAATGGGGAGAAATGTTTGAGAACGCAAGCTCTAGCCGGAATCGGCACATTTGCCTAGGATTAGACCCTAACCAGGATGAGCAACACATGTTTGGGGGTCGAATCGACAAAAGTATGCCTTCAATATCAGTATCTTACTGTATAATATATATTTATATATGAATATATACATGGGAAACAAAATAGTGGATGCACGGTCAAAAGACGGTACAGGAATACTGAACATGTAGTAATCCAGTAATCCAGTAAGCCAGTGATCCAGTAATCCAGTAATCCTAATTATCATTATCATCATCATCATCACCACCACCACCACCATCATCATCATCATCATCACAATTACCATCACCACTGAATCACCCTGTCAAATTTCAGGGATCCACATCCCAGAAGACCATAGACCAAGTTACGACATGTTACGACTGATCTTCCTGCGTGGCCCAACCTGGAATCCGCCGCATCGAAAACGCATCGATCCCTAAAACCTCAGCTTGACGTGGGAATAACACCGTCCCAGAAATGCCCAGCAAATATGGAACGCCCGATTCCCTTCCAAATTACTCATTGTCATATATATATATATACAAGACATATATATATATATACAATATATATATATATATATACAATATATATATATACAATATATATATATACAATATATATATATACAATATATATATATGTGTGTGTGTGTCTTTGTCCATCGAGTGATGACTGACTTTGCTCTCGTGAAGTGTAGACTTCTGAGATGACGATGACGCACCTGGACCCAAAACTGGACCATTCTGGTGACTTCTATGAGATATATCTACCACGGGGCTTCCAAATTGCACACAGTTCATGTTGTTTCTTGTTTTGCATATGGGTACGGCTGAAGATTGAGTACAATTTGGATGCGAAAACGAATGGTGCATTCCTAGCAATAGACCAACCAAAGTGTTTCTGAGGAGACATGACTGTTAGAACTGAATCTGGAGTCTCATAGACTGTTTTGTGGTTTCCACTGTTTAGTGAGATTACTATGTAGTCCTTCCTTGGTGATGTGAAAACTTTCATAATAACATCATATCTCCATATTCTTCAGTTTCTGGAGAAACCACGTCGTGAATGGTGGATTGATCGCTGATTTTCTTGCCAGTGACAAAGGACTTCGTCCTATGCTTTGAACAGAACATGTTTGGCAAGAAAGATGCCTCTGTCACGACATACACAGCATTTCTGTGTCCCACGTTTATTTTTCGGCTATCCAAGGCTAGCTATACAACAAATTCAATAATGATATAATGATGTCCCAGCTATAAGGGGATCATTTTTGCAACTGACTTACTGACTTAGACTGAGACCACCAAATCGTGTCAAGAGTATCTAGAAGGCAAATTGCACTTTTGATCGGTTCACAAACAGCCCTGAACCTCTATATCATGTGAAGAAAAGATCGTGTCCAAAAAAAAAAAGAAAAACTGGCAGCCAAAGCTGACACTCCCACCTTTGCATAAAAAAACAACATGTTCAGCTACATCCCCAATGTCAATCCCTCGGATCATGTCGTTCCGCCGCGGAACATCGCGGAAGATCTGGATTGGTCTCCGGTGGCGCCCTTCCAAAGGATCGTGGAGCCATGCCACCAATCTGCCCGGGGCGGGCGATGTTTCACTGTTCGAACGCATTGATGAAGCAATGATGTACAGTGCCCAAAATAACTGGTTTATGTGGTAAACCATGGTAAAGCCAATTCCATAAACCATGCGCAATAAAGGTTCATTATTGGGTATAGCCCTAGAAATGGGATGATTTATCATAGACCCTAAATGCTTGGTAAATGGGATGGTTCATTGTTGGGTTTACTACATGAATATGGGTTGACAATGGTTGACAAATGTGCAAGGGTTTATCAAAGTCGTTGTAGTACCGAATCCATGGAGTTGTACTACTTTTTGTGCATCCCCCCAATATCTTATCTCTATGTGTATATATATATACATATGCATATACGCAAGTATATACTACATATATCATATACATGTCAGGTCATGACTAAGTTTATAAACCATTATATAAATCAAACTTTGCTTTATAGCTGGTCAGTATCAACCTTCATGTGGGTGGTCTTACCCCAATTTGCTATGGATAAATGGGATGACAACCTCACCCATTGTGGGAAGATCTATCTATTCTAAACCAGGAGAATGGAGTGAAATTATACATGTGATTTAAAAAAAAAAGTCAAGAAAATGTGCATTGCCCATTTTGACAACAGCATTTTTCTATTTAATTGTTTGTGTTTAGATATATCCTAGTTATAATTGTTGATATTTGTTTCTTTTCCACCATTTCCACCATAGCCCTCTGTATTCGGACAGTAAAGCAATGTTCCTTAGTGAGAAAATGTCCTGAAGTTCAGCCGGGAAGTAAATGTTCCTGCTTTGACGAACAGGTCAGTGTAGGAGCGGTTAGTATTTATAGTGGCGATTTACCACATGATTCTTCTTGGGGTAAGCCAAGCAGGAAGGTCGAGGTCATGATCTAACCCGGCATGGCCACAGTCGGAATTTTGAAGCGGGAATGGATGTGCCATCATCATGTTCCCAACCACACATTGATGTCGCTGAAGGAGTTGAAAAACATTCGGATTTGGGTATGGTTGGAGTCTGTCACAACAAACCTCGGGAATAAAGCCCGCCCTGGCGAAACGCTCCGTAGGACGAGCGGTTAAGAGTGTAACACACTGCGTCTGTTCCGCGGAACGCGGCACGGCGCCAATGTATCTATCGAAGTTTGGAGTGTCCCGCGATGCTCGGAAAAAAAATGGCACGCAGTTGGTAGGTGAACTGCTGCTTGACGGAATGCAAGAATTGAGCCCAAACATCAGGTACCCAAAATGCCAATGGTTTCAGGGGGTTCTCGTCATTTTCCTCTTTAGCAAGTTTGGATTGTGCCCCCCATGTGACTGCGCGCAAGATTCCGATGATCCTAGATCCGATAGAAATGACCCACAATGCATTCCTGGCATTCCTGGCATTCCTGGCATTCCTTGAAGGCAGGATCCCTTTTCTATGATTCCTTAAGGTATCCACAGAATTCTTCATGATTCTTCTGTGGATTGTCCACGAAGGATTTTTGGGCATCAGAAGTCTTACGTCGCCCTGTGCATGCGTGTTGGTGATTCTACCAATTTTAGTGGGCACTTTGAGGATCGAAGATCGTCAAGTTATATCCTGTGTGTGCATAAATATGATAAAATGCTCTTTCGACATTGGTGTTGATGCCACACCTTTTGCCCATACAACCTTTGGGGCTGGTATATTTACACATATTTCCCAACGAAAGCAGAGAATTCTAACTGGTCCTGTAGGCCAATTCTTTGTACCCACTGAGTTTTTTTCACATAACGATGAAAGCCGTGGCCCACTTATCTCGATGACGGTACCTTTTTATAGAACTGGTGTTGTTGTTTTTGGCTGCAAGAAATCCTCAGAGGGTAAATCAACCAGCTCCAGGACGTTTGGATCGACCCATCGTGCGGTCCGGTCGCGAAGGCCCTCGGCCATAGCTTCAGTGGGGCCTTTGATCGATTTAGAAACCCCAAAGTTGGCCCCTAAGATCAATCCCAATAGATGGTTTCTATAAGCCCTTGTGATGAATGGTAGTGGTGAAGCCCCTACGGTCACAAGCCAGGGCGTCAACTTTTGGGCGGTTGAATTTCCACGAGGTTTGGTGAATTTTGCAAACTTAGAATAACTGGGGGACCCACTTGTATGCCTTTAAACCATCGCATTTTAGCCGCATTCATGGAGATGTCGGGTGGCTAGACCCTGGTTTATTTCTGCACCTGGGTGAATGGTAGGCGAATTTATTGACCATGTGACATGTATATAGATGAATGTAGTAACAAACGTAGGCTACATGGGGCCGGGTTTAACAACATTATGATACATTAATATACATAGGGATTCGGCCTCCATACTTGGGCAAACAAGGGTGAAGAATTGGCTAGATATTCCAATGGGTCAAGCATCAGTACTGTGGTTTTACTTGCAAAATAGTGGTATGCATACTGAAATAATGATTCAACTTCAACATCAAAATGTGGCACGGTGGTGCATGGGTTCATACGGGTTCCATGTTGAGGGTGTTTGATCTTGATCTGTTTCCCACTCGTTTTTTTCTTGAATGTCACCAGTTATCCACAACGAGTTCTAAATTGGTTATAGAAATATCTAGCTCATGATTTCTCGTGGTCTCAATTCTCTTTTTCAATTTGTGGATGTTTTGATCAAA